CCGCCGCCCGCCTCCGCCTCACGCGCCAGCACTGAGCCCGCGCGAGCGAGCGCACGCACGTACGCACGCAGGCAGTGAGGGCCGCGCGCAGCCTCCGCTACGTAGTGTTTGTTTCTCCCCGCTCCTCCCTCCCCCTTTTGGCCCAAACAACGCAGCGGGGAGCTGCTTCCCTTCCAGCGCCCTCGGTTCCCCTGTGGCGGGCGGGCGCGCGCCGAGGACGACAGACTTCCCTCCCTTTACCTCCCGCCCCCTCTCACCCCCTGGGCCAATCGCCGCCGGTAGCTTCACGGCGCAGCCGCACCGGAGCCGGAGACAGGAAAGGCTGGCTTCGGCTCAAGTGCCTCGTAGCACCGAGGCGTGTGCTCACCCGTCCCTCCGTACTTCCAGCCCGGGGCTCCGCGCAGCCGCCCGCAGCTCCCTCGCCACACGCCCCTCCCACCTCGTCACCAGCTTTACTCCCCTCTGACCCGATCGCGCTGTCGTCGTAGGACTTGCTCGCTAGTCTCTGTTCCCTACTGTCTATACGTGCAACCACTTGAGACAGAAAGAAAAAAAGCCAGCAGGGAAGCAGGGAACTCTTACAACATGAACGCCTACTAGCAATTGTCTTTCTGTTTAGTCAACAAAAGGGATCTCCAAAACCAAGGCATACAGTAACCCCTGGCCCTCCTTTTCCCTCAATCCTTCAACTTCTACCCAGCAACAGGCCCCCTGACCTCGCCTTATTGGCCAACTTGAATTGTCATCTGCAGCTCTGATTGGTCATCCGTGATCTCTCGGATTTTTTTTTTTCAATTGGCGAAGGTGCCTGGGGATTTTTTTTTTCCGGTTTTTTTTTCCGGGTTGTTGCGCTGCGGAGGCTACGAGGCGGGGTCGTTTCTGCGGGATTACTTTTCCGAGGCCGCTTCTGATTGGGCGGCGTCGCCCATAGGCGCGACCCTTTAGACACCAAGCTGTCCGGAGACCCGATCATGTCCTCTGTGTGCTCCTGGCTCGTAAACCGAAACCCAGCGGGGAGACTGCGGGCTTGGCCATTTGCAGGGGATGAGAGACTGGCCGCGGAGCGTAGGGGACTTGCAGCCGAGAGGCGCTGCGGCCGTGTCACTCTTGGCTTGTGGTTGGGGTGCACGGACCGCACTCATCTCGGCCCCCCAACTCCTGGCCCAGAGGTCAACAAATGCTGGTTGAATTAAGTGCAAAGGGCTGAGATGGAGGCCAGCCCTCTAGACCTCTTTTAGCAGCTGTCCCCGCCTACTCCCTTCCACTTCCAGGTCAGAGAGGTGTGTCCCAAGGCAAGGAGGAAGCAGATTCCGCCGGCGTTCGCACGCCTGCCACAATTCCTTAGAACGGCCTTCGCTTTTTCATGGAGTCTCCTCACCCTGGAATCGCCTCTTTAGGAAGTCGATCGATCTCTGGCTCTATTTCCACACCTTCTCCCTGATTAGTTTCCTGCACTTCTAGAGATTGAAAAAAATAACTGCAGAGAAGAGAGAAAAGGGCTGTAGTAGAATCAAGCAAATCTCATTCCCTGGGAGGCCTCCTGGAGAAGGGTAATTTCCTGCATTTTTACGTCACCTACCAACATCAGTTATTTCACTCCTATCCCCAGAGCTTCAGTTGCTCTTTTCACTGTCCAGTTCTGCAAGAACATCGGGCGACAGAGTTATGGAGAAGCGTCTGCAGGAGGCTCAGCTGTACAAGGAGAAAGGAAACCAACGTTACCGGGAGGGGAAGTACCGAGATGCAGTGAGTAGATACCATCGAGCGCTGCTTCAGCTGCGGGGTCTGGATCCAAGTCAGCCCTCCCCGATACCCAACCTAGGACCTCAGGGCCCGGCCCTTACACCTGAACAAGAAAACATACTGCACACCACCCAGACAGACTGCTACAACAACCTAGCTGGTAAGAACAGGGCTAAAGGATGAGAAGAATGCCAAGGCAGGCACATGAAAATCTGAGAACATTGGGGGAAATGCTTGACGTGCTTTTCTGCTGTCATCTAGTTATCTACCATGAATTGAAATATGTTCAATCTGTAGGACTCTAGTTCAGTTTCTATAGAGCGGTGCTTCTCAGACTTGGAGAGTTTGTTAAACACAACTTACGGAGCCCCATCCTCACGATTCCGATTTAATAGGTCTGAGGTGTATGTGTTGGGGGGGAATGGGGTGGGGTTACCGATTTGCATTTCTGACAAACTCCTGGGTGATGCTGATAGGTATAGGGATTTTGCACGCTATAGAGAAAATACTGAACCAATGTTCACGGCGTTGTTTCTTTAGTATTTAAAATATAGGAAAGAAGGCACTTGCTTTAGCTGATGGTGTAAGTCATCCATCTTAGATGTTTTGGATAAATTTTCCTCATTTTCCTCCTTCATGTCAGCTAGATGATAACTTTGGTAACTAGTATCTTCCATCTCCAGCTGGCCTTGAGTGAAGAGATGGATTCCAGAGTTAGGATCACTAGGATTAATCTGCTAGAAGAAAGGAGACTTCTTAGGTCTGTTCTATGGCAGGCAAAATAACTATAGAGCTAATGAAATTATTTTGAAATATATTAAAATATTCTAATGGTCCCAGTTGAGGCCATAGAAATTATTAGTTTTTAAATTTTGTAATAGTTGTTTAATGTTTTTTTTTATTACAACACTCATCAGCTATGATTTGGTGAAAATTTTTTTACAGTATGTGTCTAGTGCTACTCTTAGACTCAACTAACAATAACAGTAATTATAGTAACTAATATTTCAGTTCATCCAACAATTATTTATTGGGTACTGAGGATACTTCAGTATAATAAAACAGATAAAGATCCCTGCTCTCATGGAACATATATTCAAGTAAGGGAGATGGGCAATTAATAAAAGAGGAACATATACTAGAAGATGATAAGTCACCTGGAAAAGAATAAAGCAGAAACTGGGTATAGTGCATGCCACAGGCATAGAATTTAGCTAGTGGTCAGGGAAGGCTCATTAAGGTGACATTTATGAAATGCCACTGGCAGACATTGTTTAAGCCCTTTACGCACATATTAAATCTGTTTAAATGTCACAACGATCCTTTGAGGTAGATTTAAGGAAACGGCTAGTAAGTGGTGGAACTCAAATTAAACCTGGGCAATCTTCACTGCAAGTGCTTAAATTCTTATTGCAGAAAACTGTACCTTATTAGAGAACTGTACCTTGTTAGGTTACAGATTTGGGAATTGACTAGAAAGCAAGAAAACGAGATGTTTTAGAGTTGGTACTTACAAATATCTTGGCTTTCCACGTGGACATGAAGGCAGAGACTATGGCTTAGCCATCTGTAGAGCCTCCACTTGGGGGTGCCTGGTAGATGCCCCATAAAGACTCACTGAATTAACAGTTTTCACTCACTGAGTGCCTAGAACATATCGGACATTTTATTTATGGTATCTCTCATCTTTATAAAAATTCTGCAAGATAGTTATGATTGTCCCCATTTTACAAATAAGAAAATCAGATCATGTCACTGTCAAGCCCTCCAATGGCATTTCATTACACTTAGGAAACTATTCAAACTCTGACCCTCATCTGCCCAGCCTGACATGATCTGGCTCCTCAGAGGCTGAATTCCCAAAGCACGTGTCCACCTTGTAGCCTGACTTCTTCTGTCAGCTGGAATGCCCCATCCCTTGAATGATCCTTGTCAGTCAGATCTTGGCCCCAAAGTCACCTTCTCAGGGAGGCCTTCTGTAATCAAGCATCACTCTGACCTCATTCACCCTCTTTCCCAAGACAGCTCTATTTTCCTCAAAGCATTAATAAATAAATGATTTTTTTTAGCATATTCATCCTACCTAGGGACTAGCTCTATTTACTCATCAAGATGTCTGTCTTGTTCCTTTTATCCCCTACTCCTAGCCCTGCCCAGCGTGTGGTCAGTTCTCCATAACTAGTTGTTGAATGACTGAATGAATGAAGAAGCTACAGTGATGGGTTAGTTGAACACGGGAAATACCTGAGTATAAACCATGTGGCCACTTGGTGGGGATGTTGTAGAAGGGATGCAATCATCAGCCCTGACTCTCCCTCCTCAGCACCATGGCTTAATAATACTGTGTTTAATTTCCACAGTTATGAAACAGGGAACCCATTTCCCTTCTTAGTTGCAGAAAGGCAGAACATTGAGCTGAACATTGCCTCCTAAACAGGTTTTGTCTTTTGAGGTCCCACTCTTTCATTCAAGGAAACAGTGAAGTAATATATCATCCCTGAGGATGATTTTTGAGTTAGAGAGTCCTTGGTTCATATTCCTTACTCATTCCACCCAGAAGTTGTGGGATCTTTTGAGGGGGCGGGGCAGGTAATTAAGTATATTTTATGTATTTTTTAGTGGAGGTACTGGGGATTGAACCCAGAACCCTGTGTATGCTAAGCATGCACTCCACCGCTGAGCTTACCCTCCCCCTAGAAGCTGTAGGGTCTTGGGTGAGTTACTTTACCTCTCTGAGCCTTGATTTCTTCATCCACAAATGGAGATAACACACACTGATTTCATGGGGTGGATGAGAAGATTAAACAAGCACATAGCACAGCAGTTACTATTTCCTCACACAATTAATGGCAACCATTGTTCACAAAGCAGCAAGGTGAGAATTGTGGTGAAATGGGAGATTTCAAGACAGAGAGCCTTGGGTAGAAGAGATGCAATGAAGAGTTTTAAGTAAATGTTAAAGTATGTTCCTATCGTGTTTTATAACTGGGCCTAGCCCACACTAGGTACGTAGTAGGTGTTTGGTAGATGCTAAAGTAAAATGTAAGGTATATAAAGCTTGTATTACTGCTCCGTCCCCAGTGGCTAGAAGAATGTCTGGCCCATGGTCACTACTTAAATTTATTTGTTGGATGAGCGAGTGTTGTGGATGACATCCTATGTCTGGTGCTGTCTTGAGTCAGCCAGTGGAACTCTTCTGTCTTCCTTCTGTTTGGCCCCGTTAGCCTGTCTCCTGCAGATGGAGCCAGTCAACTATGAACGGGTGAAAGAATACAGTCAGAAAGTCCTGGAACGACAGCCTGATAATGCCAAGGCCTTGTATCGGGCTGGAGTGGCCTTTTTCCACCTGCAGGACTATGACCAGGCTCGGCGCTACCTCACGGCTGCTGTCAACAGGCAGCCAAAAGGTGAGCAAGAAGGGGACTGAAGTGCTAAGTACGAGAAATGATCCCACGGCGGTGGTACTTGTGGGAGAGTGTTTTATCTCATTTTACTTTTTCAATTTATTGAATGTTTTGAGTAGGTGATCATACATTCACACAGTTCAAAATTCAAAAAGTACAAAATATGTAAGGAACAGGCAGCCTACCCTTGTACTCTTGCCTCCACGGGAAAGCAATATTGTACATCCTCCAGAAATAACCCTCCCACCCCCCTCCAGTGAAAGAGATTTTTAAAGTGTTGCTTTTCACGTTTCAGTTCCTAGATCAGGACTGAAATAGGATCTGAAATCCAGTGAATGAACTTGGTAATCCTTGCCTCTAAGCTCACCAGCTAGAGTCTGGCCTTTGCTTAACTATCAGTTTATCCTTGAGCTCAGCTAACCCCAGGTCTGACCTAGAAGAAGGCTTGATTCCAAGGCAAAAAGATATTGTAATGAGAATGACAGACTCATTCCTGTGTCAGTGGTTCTTTACTGAAAATTGTCTCCCATTTTGCATTCTGGCTTAGAGCAGCTACTGAAGTAGAGGGTCCCCAAGCATCCAATTCAGCAAAATCTTTCTATGTGAATGGGAAAGCCATTATGAAGATAATAAAGATACAAAATATGAGCTATTTGTTCATGTTTGTTACCTTCAAGTACACAGATTAGCTGCCACCCACGTATAGTAGCTTTAGAGGCTGTGCTGTAACAATAACTATTTCTTCAAACTCCTTTTTATCATTAAATTAGCAACCAGCCCAGCCCTGCACAGAGATTTTTTTTTTAATTCAAAGTGATTGAGGAATGAGATTTACTATTGCAGAGAATAGTTGCGATATATGCAGATCTTAGATTTTAAGAAATGAGAGTGTGTTAACAGTCCTCTCCTGCCCCAAGGTGCAATTATGGTCTGTCTCTAACTGTCTTCTTTGCCCCGTTCTAAGATGCCAACGTCCGGCGGTACCTTCAGCTGACACAGGTGGAACTCAGCAGCTACCATCGGAAAGAGAAACAGCTCTACCTGGGCATGTTTGGTTAACAGAGAAGAAAGATACCCCTCCACTTGAACTTAGGTGAACCATTAAAGACCCATCGATGGGAAACTTGAGCCTCAGCAAGAGAAATTAACCCCATACCTCTGACCCAGGTGGACTTCTGTTTTGTTTCTAGTTCTGTACAAATTCTACCATGTATACAGTCTGTGTCTGTTTTTGTCTCTCCATTTGTGTATTTGTATGGCTTTCAGTACATTGTATTCTTGGGGACATTTGCCTTGAGAAATACAACCAGAAAACATTCATCAGCTATAGGTGGAATTAATCATATCTCGGGCATAGATTTTTATGATGGTGGGGGGAAGGTATAGCTCAGTGGTAGAACATGTACTTAGCATGCACAAGGTCCTGGGTTCAATCCCCAGTACCTTCATTAAAATAAATAAATAAATAAACCTGATTACCTCCCCCTAAATTTTTTTTTAAATAAATTTTAATAATAGACATTGTTAGATGTAGTCATATACAGAGGAGAAGACTAGCAGAGGATAAAAATGGTAGTAAACATAAGCAGAAAGGAGGTTCTTTCTTCAGTTCCTCAGATGCCCAAAGCCAAAGTTACACAGGCTACAAACTGGCATTTTTTTTTTCTTGGTAAAACTAGACAGTTGTAAATGGGCCCCGCCATGGCTCAAAATGAAAGATTTGAAATTAACCATTTTGATTAAACTTAATTCCTTTTTCTTTGTAATGTTTCACACACATTCACATCCTTTTTCCCCCACAAAAGTTCCTATTGTTTCTCTTGGTAATCTCTAGTCCTCGCTATTGTTCAGACTCTGATTGTTACTTATTTATTTTTTCAGCGAACTCTTGTATCTTAAAACTCCTGGAGTCAAGCTTTTGAGTATTTATTTTATAATCTTTTAAAGCCCTCATGCCAAAAAAAAAACCACTCAAGTAAACATTTTAATTTTTAATAGGTACATGTCTATAGTGTGCTCAGTTCTTTTAAAAACATAGGAAAGACAGATTACCAGGTCTTCTAGGAACAGTAGCATAAAAGCAGAATAGGAACATAGTTGTGTTCTTTACCTGTCAGCTTGTATTTTGCAAGAGCTCAGCTCCTTACAGAATGAGGGAAACAATGAGGAAGGGTTCTCTTTCCTTAGTGCCTTTTAAGCACTGACAGAACTTTCTGGAAGCTTTGCTGGGCACAGGTGCAGGCTGCAGATCTGGTGCAGTCATGGCTCAGTAGGAGGCTCCATCAACTAGGAGCTCCTCTGTCATTCTGTGCATTTGTTATGAGTCATGTCCACAGTATATGAGTTGTACAGAGGGGATGAGACCACATAGCACTGCCTCTCCCTGTATGAGTGGAGGTAATAAGCATGTGTCATTTGCCATCAAGTAACCACAGACAGATATCAGAAAAAAAACAAAAAATGCATAGTCTTGCCAATTGTACATGGGCTCTTCTCCCTTTATTAGTAATGGCTCTCTCCCAGCGAGCTAATCTCTTCTTTGTGTCTCCCCAGACCCTTAAATAATACGACCATCAGCTTACAACAGAAAGATTTTATACCAAATAATCTTATAAGTCCAAGGACAGGAATAACAAGAGAAGAATATTTTATTCCTCTTTCAAGCTTCTTAAATGTCTCAGCCTTGATTGTTGACAAAATTATGTCGTGGTTGTATGTTACATTTGTTTTGGAGTGGTTTTGCTTTCTGCTTTTTTTCCCCCCAAAGACTTGATGTTACAGTAAGCTATGTTCTGCATCAGTGAGGAAAAAAATAAAGCTGATGTTTAAAAATTTTTTTAGAAATTCATTGCACTAACCCTTTTATTAGGGATACTAAGAGACAAAGCGGTCAGACTTAACACTTTGGTCTTTAATTTGAAAGCCAGCTCCTAACAGAGATGTTAATGAACAGGAAAGTGGACAAAAGTTGGCAGTCAGATGTGGGTCTGTAGGAGGTCTGGCCAGCCCACAACCTGAAGGAAACAGCCAGAGGTACCTAAATCTCTGTACTCAGAAGTTCCTGGGTGACAAGGCTGCTCACTTACCAATCCTTAATGGTTTCCACACAGGATTTGAGGGTTTGATTGAAGAGAAAGCATTCCTGGTGGATGTGAAGATTCATACTTTGGCACATGAGGGACAGTTTAGAGCAGCATTTCCCGAACTGATACCCACTACCTTTATAATTTTGCCAGAACCACGATCTATACTATTTAGTCAATATTTTACTTAAATATATATTTTGAAAGGAGCTTTTGGACAGAGGAATATGTTAAATAATACCATGGGGATGTAATCAGCAAACTCCAGATTGAGACCATAAGCCAAATAACTCAATTTCTTCAATAAATTGCAAGGAAAAAGAGAGGGGAACCTATAGGTTAAAAGGGACTTGCAGGGGAAGGTACAACTCAAGTGGTAGAGTGCATGCTGAGCATACACAAGGCCCTGGTTTCAATCCCCAGTACCTCCTCCAAAAATAAATAAGTAGACCTAATTACCCCCCAACTTTTTTTTTTATTAAAAGAAGCGGGGTTTGCTTAAGAGATACCAACCAAATAAATGTGACTCTACTTTGGATTCTGATTTGAAGAAAACAACTAAAAGTTTATGAGACAATTAGGGAAATTTGAACAAGAATTATTATCAATTTTGTTGAGTGTGATAATGGTGTTTTTTTTTAAAGAGTTCTTTTAGAGGTGCATGCTGAAATTACTTATTGATAAAACTGGGAGGGGACTTTAGAACACTTCATATCACTTGCCAAACAGAAAACAAAAAAAACACCAACCATCAAAATATATTTTACAGTAAAAAAAAAGTATTAAGATATGTCCAAGTAAACCATCTTTGGAATCACTGGCTTTGGGGAAACTGAAATCCAATGTGAAGGGCTAAAATGGTGAGTTTGGTGAAGCTAAGCTTGGCCAAACGTCTGGTAATTGACGAGGCACTGGACATCACGCTAAAGCCTACACGTACAAAATAGCCAATTAAGAAAAGAAAAATCCTAAACTAGGAATATATTTCTCAAACTGGAGAGCAAAGGGTGGTTGTCTGAAAACTAAATTGGCTTGTAGCTCAAAAGCAAATAACTTCTCAGGGCTAAACTCTTTAATAGGTTGGGGCCTGACCCATCCCACCATGAAAGGGAGCCAACTTTGGCTCAGTAGAAGGAATCATCATCCAACAATCAGGGTTGTCCAACCATAGAATAGGTTTCCTTTGGGGATAGTGAGTTCTATTTCAAGCAGAGGTTTAACAACTGGCAAAAGGAGGATCCAGTATTGGACTAGAGGTCAGATGAACTGACCTATGGTTCCTCGAATCCATGCATGGGCAGTAGTGGAAACTAGAGAAAATTCTCTGCTGATCACACCTCTACAGACAGGTATAACTTGTTCTTAGTGTCCAGCAAATAAAGTGAGGCAACTTTGGCCCTAATTGTGTTGGCTGCTGCTTTAAACATCTCGCAAATTCCTGACTGCCACCTCTAATGAAGGATGCATTCCAGGCTGGGAACTGAAAGCAAAGGCTTGCTCTTTGGGAGTATCTCACCAAGTAACAGATCCTCTAGAGTTAGGTATTGCACTTGGCCGAGGCAGTTAACAGTGGTTACTGTGTTCCCAGACTATCCAGAGAAACTATATACATTTTATATACATGTACACGTATTATGCCTTGCTTTTAGGAACTAGTGTTCCAAGGCAACCATTTTTTTCCCTTCTGTGTCTTTTTTAATTGATATATAACTCAAATACCATAAAATTCACTCTTTTAAAGGCAACTGATTCTTAAAGGCATTTTGATTTTTTTTATAGGCGTTTGATTTGATATTTATTCTAGGAAGGATTGGAAAAGTTGCTCGTATTGCATTTATGTACATCTTGCCTTGTTTCACCAAAGAGTTAAGGCAGTGATGTATTTGCAAAAGTAAAATCATCCATTTGAAAGATGAAAGGTTATTCCCACACAAGGAAAATGAAAGGCATAGAATTCACTCGCTCAGCCATGAAAATGTTAAGCATCAACTTTTGCTTCCCATAATGCCCCAGGTGAGGAGCTTTCTTTGTCCCAATCTTCGATGCTCAGCTCGTCTCCTTCCTATGACTCAATCAGTAGCGTGTTAGAGTTCACAGTGCTGAATGTGACATCCAAATAGAGAAGAAATTCAGAAAATTCACTCATATTCTCACCTTTCTAAATTTTCCTTCCTGCCTTTTTTTTGTTTTTTTTTAAACGCTCTTCCTTATGTGCTGAAAGGGAGAGGGTCTGTAGACAGCCCTCCAGTCTATCCGCAGCACCACGCTTCACCACAAACGGGGCAGAGTGTTCTCTTAGACCCCCATGCCACTCAACACCCTAAACTCCCAATTCTCTGCTACCTCTCCTGTCAGTAGCCACGTGCCAGACCACAGATGAGTAATTTGACCTGTCTAGGCTGTCATCACATGTTTTAAGTGAGGAAGCTGGACTAGATGAACTCTTAAGATTCTCTCATCTAGAATTTCTTGCTTTAGTTTCCCCAAGCACTTATCATTTCTATTCCACAGGCCCTCCATCTCCTCCCCCTCCCAAACCTGCCACCACAGAGCTTAATGTTTTCTGCCTTCCAATTTGTCACCTGCAGAGACCTCAATTCATAGTTACAAAACGTAGGCAAAAATTTCCAGTCATCAATACAGTATCTATTGTTGAAACAGTCAACCACGGGTCTAGGTGGAAAGCAGAAGTAAAGAAGGAAGGCAACACAGCCAAACAGAAGGACAAAAAAGAAAACAACTTCTACTTCACAGTTAAGCATCTTCAACCATGTATTAAACCTGCATATGATGTGTGGAGTCTGAAATCACAAGCCAGGGTTCAAATTCTGGCTTGCCCCTTAACTAACTCTGTGACCTTGAACACATTAACTTTGATTGTTCAGTCTCAAGTTTCCTTGTTTACGGGGAAAAAATGGTGGAGAGAGGGGTAAGATCTCATAAAGTTGTTGAAGATTCAATGAGTATGTGAAGTCCCCAATACAGCCCAGGACACAGGAGCTCAACGACAACAATGAACTGTAATTGTGTAAATTTCCCCACTTTGTATACTTTTCCTAAGTAAAGTCCATATTGCCCTCTGCCTATCTCACTTTTTTCCTCATAAGCGACCTGACCCCCATCTCTACCCCAAGTACACATGTCAGATTCCTAAAAGATCTGGAAAGGTTATGAAAGAATCAGGAGGCATGCAGGTTTGTGGAAGAAACCAGCCAACACCAGTTCAAAGAGATACTTTCACTGATAGCTTTATGGTCCAGAATGCAGAGTGAGAAGTGATTACACCTCAGGAAAATTCCCAGTGCCCTTGGTGAGGAAGTGACTGAGATGCAATGCCCCATAAAGTCCTGCTACCTGGCTGGGAAAAGAAAAGAAAACTTCGGTCTGGGCACAATCTTCATTTTGTCACCAGCAGGGGAAGTGAGATGCTTCCAACCTTCCGTGCTGCCCCCTAACAATGGCAAGAGCAGGTCTAGCATCAGCACATGCTCCCCAGGTGTTAGTTTTTGGGGCCAAGTACAAATCTTTGGGTGGCCCTCCACCACCGTTGTTCTGTCTATCTGCTGTCGGCGAGCCAGGGAGGGGCTGTGCTCCTAGGAGGGGGCCTGCCTCTGGATCTGGTTTGCTGCGTTTGGCCAGGTCCTCATTGTGAGCCTTGCGGATGTGGCGGTACAGGTCCCCTGACTGCGTGTAGCTGCGCAGGCAGTAGCGGCACTCGTAGGGTCGCTCCCGCGTGTGCACGGTGGCATGGCGCCGTAATGTGTAAGAGCATGAGAAGGTCTTCCCACATGTCTTGCAAGTGGGCACATCCTCAGTAAAAACTCCAAAGCCTCCTGGGGCCGCTTCATACTCAGAAGGCAGGTATAGTGGCTCATGTAGGGCAGGCGGAGCAGGCAGAGGTGAGGTCACCAGTCCTCGGTGATACTGCCCTGGACCTGGCAGCAAATGGTAGGGTAGGTGAGGATCTGGGGGCAGGAAGTGGTCACTTGGCCCCACCTCCTCCAGTCCTGCAGCCCTGGGCCCCTCAAAAGCCTCTGGCTGGGGGGGCTGTCCACCATACATTGCTCCTCCAGGTGGGAACAGTCCCTCAGGACCCCGAGGCTGTTCCTCTGACACATCAGTCTCCTCGTCGGAAATCACAATAGCTTCTACTTTCACCTGGACCAGTTCAGCTTCCGCTGGGGCTGGAGCCTGGGATGGAACTGGGGCTGCAGCTGAAGCTGGGGGATAGAAGCCTTGCAACTGTCCTCCAGTATCCCTTGGTTCCACCATCCTCAGACTCTCAGAAGCCACATCAAGGGGAGCCAGTGGCTCCACTGAAACGGTTGGGAGGCCGGAAGAGAAGTAATTTGCAGTATTGGTCTCTGTGGAACTACTGGGGCTGGCAAGAGAGACATCAGCCACTGGTGGAGGAGGTGCCCGAAGGTGCAGTGAGTCAACCTCCACACCAGGCTGTGTAGTGTCAGCCCCAGCCGGAACAGGTGGCTCATCTGGAGGACAGACAGTAGGTGAGGGAGCAGCTGATCCTTTCCATTCGTCTTTGCCCCAGTGGCCTGATGTCTCCGCAGATGGCAACGAAGGCTGAGGGCCACGGGAAGTGCTGGACAAAAACTCCAAGTTAGAGGGCTGTGAGTTGGCTTCCTCCTCCTTCTTGGTACTGTCCGCCTCTGCCAGGGCCCGAGCTTGCAGCCGCCGCTTACACACCTTGACGATGTCATTCATGTGCAAGTAGCTGGCAGCTGCCAGGACATCCTCCACAGGGGTATCCCCCCTCAGGACCAGCTGGCCGGCATACATAAAGTCCAGAAGCAGCCCAAAGGCTGGGGCAGTGACAATCTCGTTGTGGATACACACCAGATCCCTCTTGTCCAGTTCCCTCTCTTTGTAGAAAAGCTGGAAAAATGGGCTGCAAGAGGCCAGCACAGCCCGGTGGGCCAAGAACTGGCTGCTACCCACCACCACCGTGCAGTCACAAAGGAAACCCTGGGACCGCTGCTCCCGGAGGCTCTGAAGCAGTTGCTGGCTGTGTTCTGGGAACTCCATAGCACCCCACGAAGGGAAAGGGACCCTAGAAAGGTCCCCACCAGTGGCTCCCTGGGAAGAGAGGACAGTGGGTTAGGGCAGGTAACCTCCCCAGAAACCTTAACGTCAGCTCTGAGCTATCACTTGCCACCCCAAAGCCTCTGGCGACACCGACCCCAAGACGCTCGCTTCAGTTACTACCCTTCTTTCTCCTAGGTCACAACCAATGGTCTACTTTTTAGCTCCGCCCCTCGGCCTAACCTTAGCAACAGGCCCCGCCCACTAAACAAAGCCCCGCCCCGGAAGTCCCGCCCCCTACGTAACCTCCGCTTCCTCGATGCCCACCCGGTAGCTTCCAGGCGCCCCCTCCAACTAGAAGTCTCGCTCCGAGGCCTTCCTGGCCGATACCTCTACGCCCAACTCCGGGAACTCCCTGAGCCTCTCTCGCATTCCAGGAGCTAAGAAGTTCTAAGGTGGGAAGTAGCAGAGAAAGCTGATCCCTCACCTACCACCGAGCGACCAACGGGCCAGCTCCGCCCCTTCCCACCTTCTCAGTTTTAATTGGCTCAAATTTGCCTTTCCTTGTCACGGACTGGTTCACTCTACACTAGCCAGCCCCCAGCTCAGGGCGGCGTCTTTAAATGGGTACTGGTTGCTGTCGCTCAGGCAGCTAGGCGTCCGATTGGTTGGCGTTCCTGTCCTAAACTTTTCCTTCTGGTCCCGCCTTCTTTGCTTCAGAGCCTTCTGTATTGGCCGAGCTTTTCCGTCTACCTGAGGCGGTAGGAGGGCGGGGAACCGGCTGTAAAGAGTGGAGTGTGAAGCGCCTGGGGTGCGGCGCGAGGCCAGCCCCCTCGTAGAGCCTCGTGCTTTGCCGACCACACATCATCCCCGCTGCAGGGTAACCGGAAAAAGGAGAGCCAACAAACTGATGTGGTACTGAGGAGGCCCGGATCTTAGAACCGGCTCTGCGGAACCGTAGGCTACACCTTTCTGAACTGTAGGTGTCGCTTGTAGGTCCCTTCCTCCCTCAAAAACTCCAAGATACCCTACTGCTTCACTCCCTCCAGTGTGATGGTTCAGGGCTCATCAATGGTGGTGTCGGAGGACTAGCACCTGCGCGAATGCCGTCATAGAGTCCCTAGCCTGAACTGTGTAGCCAACTTAACAATGAAGAGATTAGAGTGTCCTCTGTTTGGAGTGAAGCTGGCAAGTGCTGATAGGAAACGAAGGAGTGGGCTCAAGGCCCTAAAATGTCCCAAGGTGGGAGAATAAACAGCATGGCTGTTTCCAAAGAAATCTTCCAGAGTCCCTAGACTACCAGAGTAAAGGGCTGTAAATTGGGTATCAGTGATACCTGTCTCTTCTCTCAGCGGGGCAATGTGTTGACAGGGTTATTAGAGGAGTAAATCAGTGCCCTTCACCCGCTATTCACTCCTTCACTCACCACACTTCGTATCTGCAGTTTGGTCTGCAGCCAAGCCCTCCAATCAGATCTAACCAGAATTGGGAACACTTCATCTACCTTCCGTCCTTGTACTAGAGACATGCAGGCCACACTGGCCTCAGCTTGAGATCCCACCTTTTCAAGATACTCTTCCAAGCCATACAATATTTATTGTGTAGCAATTAAAACCAACATAACATTTTCATTTTTTAGGAAAAATAACTATATTTCCCTAAATCAAAAAATATGTAGTAAAATAGTGTCATTGTTTTACATTTTTCCAAATTTCCTTGATGTCTAGCTCAATAGAAGCTGGATTCTCACATCTGCTTCTATTTTCAAGCTATGATGAGATAATTGTTTTGATTATATGGAGATTAAAATCTGGCCTCACACAGGTAGATAGGCATGGAATTTCACTGGCCAGGGTGAGGAGTTTGTATTTTATTCTGAATGTGATGAGAAGCCATTGGTGGGTTTTCAGTTGGGGAGGGTTCTGATAACATTCTTGTTTTTAAAGGCTGATCCTGGCTACTCTGTGGAGAAAGGAGCATAGTGGGTCAGAATGGGAGCAGGAAGAAAGCTGTGGAAATGGTCCTGCAAGAGAGGATGATCACTAGACAAGGGTAGTGGTGATGAAGCTGGAGAGAAGTGCTGGGTCCCAAGAATTTGCTAAAATTAGGATAGGAGATGGGGGACAAGAGAAAAAAGGAGTCAAGGAGAATGGCCAAAAGTTTTGCATGAGCAATGGTGTGGGTGACAGCCATATTCTGAGATGGGGACAATTGGGGAGGAAAATCGAGAGTCCAGTTTTGGCCCTTTAAGTAGAGCTTCCCCTCATCTAGGTCGACTTGTGAACCTGAAGATCAGGGGAAACGTTGGGCTGGAGTTGGGCATTGGGAGTGTCATCAGCATGTAGGTGGTGTTTAAAGCCAGGGGACTGGAGGGAAAATCCTTGTAGCCGAGAGGGCTGCGGGAGCTGCTAAACAGCCAGGAGCACAGGCACTTTGGGGAGCTTACGCAATCGTGTTTCTACAGGTTCAGAAGAGATCAGAATGAAGATGAATCTGGATTTGGGTACAAAGACTGTGTGCTTGGCACGTCCAGTATATACTGGATCTGGATTATTTATTTATTGGGGGGTGATTAGATTTATTTATTTATTTTAATGGAGGTACTGAAGATTGAATCTAGGACTTGTGCAAGCTAAGCATGTCCTTTAACTTAAGCTCTACCCTTTCATAGATTTTTTTAATAAATATTTTTATTGAAGTATAGTCAGTTTACAATGTTGTGACATAAGTTTTTAAAATTACAGTTCTTTTAACCTCTGTACAAATTTGAAAACGGGGTTCCCTTTGGTCAAAACACAGTAGTGGCCACCATGGCTTAATAAACTTAGTGTGTGCTATATTTCAGCCTCTCTCACCCCCAGGAGCACCAGTAACAGGGCACAACTTGTTGCCTTTCTCAAAACTGGAGTATACAGACCCCTACCCTGGGGTACACAGAGTTACAGGATACCAAGAAACATCTCTCTAGAGTATCATTCAGTCAGATTTTTTTTTGGATAAAAGTTTTTATTTGGGGATTAGGGGTAGTAAACTGGCATAGACAGACTATGACACATGAAAAAAATGTATGTAAAATTTAAAGTCAAAACAGAAGAAATTTCCTACTTATTGCAGTAACTCCCCCAAGGGAAAAGGTTGAGACGCTTTGCTTCTAAGTGTCTGTGTATTAGTACAAGTTAGAAAAATACCTACATACATAAATAAAATTAAAAAAGCAAAGTAAAACAAAAAGTAAAATAAAAATTGAGGGGAGGGTACATTTCAGTGGCAGAGAGCATGCTGAGCAAGCACAGGGTCCTGGGTTCAAATCCCTAGTACCTCCATTAAATTTTTTAAATAAATTAATTAATAAATAAACCTAAATACTCCCAAAAAAGAGTTTAAAATAAAAATAAATATATTAAAAAGAAAACCAACATAACATTTAGTATTTATTTAGTATTTGTTAGGTGCTAGCAATGTGCTAAACATACTGTCTCTAATTCCATAATAGCCTTTCCTATCCCCATTAGACAGAAGAGACTGAGGTTCTTCTGAGACTTGGTTAAGTAACTTGGCCAAGGTCACCCAATAAAAGGCAGAGCTGAGATTGAATCTAGGTCTATCTTCAAAGCCACACACCTAACTATGTTGTAGATCTATCTTCCTACAGCGTTCTTAGGGTTGTCGTAGTATCCATGGCTGGAAGGTTCAGACTTGTTTGGGGGCAGAATTATCCTGGCTGTTGGAAGAACTGATGGCAGAGAAGCAGGAGTCTAGACCCAGGGAGAGGGGCAGCTGGGATGGACAATCCTTGCTGAGAGATTGCCCTTCAGGGGCTGGACCTGCTGCTTGTGTATGAATTGTATGAATCATTGGGAGAAGGTGACAGACATCATTACAAGGGCTCCTCTCTGCTCTCTAGATTGGCAAGACTCTGTTCTTGCAGCAGATTGTATTCTCCAAGGTGGCCTTAACAAGACCTTCCCTCCCACCTGCTCACTTTACAATATGACACTGATGCTCCTTACATCGGGTAAGATCTCTCACTTTGAGTCTGGAAGGGATTGTGATCCTGAGAGATGTGATGCTGTGTGACATCCGAGGCTAAGTCATAAAAAGGTATAGAGCTTCTGCCTGGCCTTCTTGGGACGCTTGCTCTTAGAACCTAGCCACTACACTGTGAAGACGCGGGGTCACAGAAGAGGGCATGTGTAAGTGTTTCAGCCACAGCAACAACCAGCCTTCCAGCTAACAGCCAGCTTCAATTTGCCGGCCAGGTGATTGATCCATCTTGGAAGTGGGTCCTCCAGTCCCCAGTTGAACTGCCGCAGCTGGGGTAGGAGCAGCTGTAAGCCTGCCCCACTGAGTCCTGCTCAAATTATAGATTTGTGAGCTAAGTAAATAACTGTGGTTGTTTCAAGCCACTGTGTTTTGGGGTGGTTTATTGAGCAGCAAAAGATAGAGGAAACAATCCTCCAACAGATTTTCTTTGTACTCCAAATCTCAATACAGCTGCTTGTTCTCCATTGCTATTTTCTTTGTATTCTAGCTCGTCTCTGGTTCTGAAGCTTTAGAAGAGAGATCAGGGCTTGGGGAGAATGTATCAGGGCCAATGTATCCCAGGGGAGCTTGAAGAGATAATAGTAGATTAATTATGAGAATGAGGTTCAATCCACCCATACCTGTTAAACTCCTTTATTTGTCAAGCACAGTGTTAGGTGCTAGAGATTCACTCACTGATGCAAATAGATCCTGAACACCCATGTGTGCCAGGCTCTGTTCTAGGCTTTGGAGATACAGAGGAACGCAACAGACAAGAATCCCTGCCCTTCTTGAGGGGAAACAAGCAATTTGCACATATATAACTTGGTAAGATGATGCCAAATAGGGGTAAGTTCTTTAAAGAAAATAGAACAAAGCAATGCAATAAAAGAATGATTGGGGTGTGGCTACTTGAGCCAGAGCAGTCATGGAAGGCCTCTCGGAGGTAGTGATATTGAGCTTATACCTGAAAAGTGAGAAGGAGCTTCCCCTCCCGCCCCTGAACCAGGTGAAAATCAGAGCCAAGTGCATTATGGGCAGAGGAAATAACAAGTACATTGGTCCTGAGGTGGGAGAGGAGGCCAATGTGGCTGGAGTGGAGAAAACAAGAGAAAGAGAGGCAGAAAATAGAGTTGGTTGGATCTGGCCCCTGCCTGGTAGGTTAGAGTGATGTTTTTATTCCAGTGCCCTGGGAAGCCATTGGGTTCTAAGTAGGGGAGTGACATGATTTGACTTGAGTTTTGAAAAGATTACTCTGAGCAAATAAATGCATGAAAAGATGGTCAACATCCTTAGTCATTAGGGAAACAAAAATTAAAAGCGTAAGAGATACTACTAGAGTAATTAGAATAGCTAAACAAACCCTGCTGAAAATGCCAAGTGCTGGTGAGGATATCTGAGCAACTGGAACTCTTACCCCTACACATACC